GAATTGGTTGGATGGTCACATCCAGAGCATAGTGGTCAATGGCTCAATGTCTAGATGGAGATCTGTGACAAGTGGCATCCCTCAGGGTTCCGTATTGGGACCAGTACTGTTCAATGTCTTCATCAATGACATAGTGGGATCGAGTGCTCCCTCAGCAAGTTTGCCAACGACACCAAGCTGAGTGGTGTGGTTCACACGCTGGAGGGATGAGATGCCATCCAGAGGGACCTGGACAGGCTGTTGAGGTGGGCCCGTGTGAACCTCATGAGGTTAAACAAGGCCAAGTCCAGGGTCCTGCCCCTGGGTCATGGCAACCACCAGTATCAATACAGGCTGGGGGATGAAGGGGGTGAGAGTAGCCTTGCCAAGAAGGACATGGGGGTACTGGTGGATGAAAAGCTGGACGTGAGCTGGCAATGTGTGCTTCCAGCCCAGAAAGCCAACCATATCCTGGGCTGCATCAGAAGCATCATGGCCAGCAGGTCGAGGGAGGTGATTCTGCCCCTCTACTCCACTCTTGTGAGACCCCACCTGGAGTACTGCATCCTGCTCTGGAGCCCCCACCACAGGAAATGCATGGACCTGTTGTAGGGCCACGAAGATGATCAGAGTGCTGGACCACCTCTCCTTTGAAGACAGGCTGAGAGAGTTGTTGTTCAGCCTGGAGAAGACCTTATAGCAGCTTTCCAGTACTTAAAGGGGACTTACAAGAAAGATGGGGACAAACTTTTTAACAGGGCCTGTTGCGATAAGACAAGGGTTAATGATTTTAAACTACAAGAGGGTAGATTTAGACTAGATAAAAGGAAGAAATGTTTTACAATGAGGGTGGTGAAACACTGGAACAGGTTGCCCAGAGAGGAGGTAGATGCACCATCCCTGGAAACACTCAAGGCCAGGTTGGATGGGCCTCTGAGCAACCTGATCTAGTTGAAGATATCCCTGCTCATTGCGGGGGGCGGTTGGGCTAGATGGCCTTTAAAGGTCCCTTCCAACCCAACCTATTCTATGATTCTATATTAAATGAATAAACTTGATCAACCTCAAACCTAGCAGGTCCGTAGCTCTTATTGGCAATAGTATCATGGAATAAATCAAGATTGGCTGGGATCCTGAGTAAGTCAAGTGGTCTTATTTTAAACAGAACAGACCAGATTTTTAGTTAGGGTTGCTTGTAAATAATGCACACACTGCAAATGTGGGAAGGAAAACAACATCGTGATCTCTGCCCCCTCCTAAAATTACACGTGTCCTCTGAAAAGTAAGTTTACTTTCCCCTCCATTTTCAGAAAGCTTAAGGATGTCCTTGTCCTTCCAAGATTGTCAGTCCTGTTGTGATTTTTTTTTTCATAAGTACTTAATATGACCATCTCAATTTCAGAAGGGAGATGGCATAGTATTGATTCTGTCCTGATCACTTTTTAATTAGTTTGATAGCAATTCTTTTTTTCAGTCCATTCATTTGACCAATGTCTTGGCATCGAGTTCTCACTGGTGGCTTTTCAATGCAGTGCCAAACAAATGAGAGTCTGTAATATCAGGACTTCTGGGAATCAATTTAACGTGGCTCGTGTTTGAAGTCAAAGGGCACTGTACCTCTGACTTAAAAAGGAGTGCTGTAAGGTCAACAGAGCTACTGGAATTTTCCCTGTAAAAGTAGAGGAGTGACATACTTTTGAATACAGCATGGAATTTTATTTCCTTCTACAAGTCCTCTATATCAGGATGACAGTCTGATGGAGAGTTTATTAAAAGGGAACTATCATGTTATCCAGCCACTTATACATGTTAGCAGCTTTAAAATTAATAATGCCTACTACAGAAAAAGACCTGGGCTTTACTGAGTGGACTCAGCTTTGTACTCGTTTTTCACAGAAAATAAAATCCTTAGCTGTAAAAAAAAAAAAGTTGGAAGGGCCTACAGTGTGCTCTAATCTTCTGTTTGTATCCCTACTCCTAAGTGTGAAATTGAGGGGTATTTAGTACAAGGTCATCCTGTGGTGGTTATACCATCTTTTAGAAGAATGATAAAGCTTGTACATGCCTGGTGCTTCCAAATGACACTGTAATGCAACCAAAGCTGACTATGCTGTCTTTGAGAGCCTCACTTAGACTGTGTTAGGACATACTGGTCTCTATCACCTAAGTTATTTTAGCTTCCTCCTTCTAGTTAGGAAACCTTACCCTGTGGATAGATATTGCTTGACCGTTCACCTTAGGTTTGTAAACACCTTCCTCAAACGCTGGTTGCTAACTGCATCAGGTTTCTGAATATACAGCTAGACCAGGATTCTAATGACACATGACATGCTGCTTGCCTCATTTCCTTGTGCCTGAGCCTCTCCTTTTGCTCCTACCCTCTTTTGTGTTGTCTCATCTCTTTCCAAGTGATACCCTTACCATGGATTAGTTGTGCTGTTGATGGTAAGATTGCCATGAAGTATGTTGAAGCCTGAAGCACCACCTCTTCTGAGTTTGAGGATTCCAATGACTTTCTTTTTTTTGCTACCTGCACATAGAGGAAGTGTCAGATAAGACTGCTTGAAATGTCCCTGAGCACAATGGTTCCAAAAAGCTTTTGTTCTTATCTATCAAATATGACAAGACCCATGAGTCAGAGCTAGTTGTTCTTCTACATCTTGCATGAAAAATATGTTCAGGAATTGAAAATGTACTACTTTTCCATCACCAAAACCCATACAGAGTCTGTTGCTCCACAAAGTTGTGTGTATGGAGGCTTAACAGTCTTGCCTCAACATATTTATGTTAAAAAGAAACACTTGGGCACTGAGAACTTATATTCATGGCTTTTTATCCTATCTGGAATACATAGCTTTTGTGCCACTAATCTCTTAAGACACAGATCTGTTCTGGTTCTAGTTGGTTAAGAAAAGTTAAAATTACCGAGAATGCTGATCGTGCAGAGACTGGCTAGACAAAAGGTCTGTTTGCATTTTTCCAGTTTTTCAAGGGAACATGTTTTTCTTGTGGTACTTATAGATACAGTGAAAACAGGACACATGCAGATGATTATATCTTCTTGCTCTCAAGGAACCTTGAGGCATACAGATTCCTCGGAGAACTTGGCAATTTAAAATGGACAGACATGTACGCAAAACAGACATTACCTATTTAGTGTTTTCGGCTGAAATAGACATTCCACTAACATTAGTCATTTTCATGATTTTTTTTTTTTCCAGGGAAGTAACAGTACAAAAAGATGTCATAGTCTTTTGTGTTCATTCAATCTTTTATTACTTTTGTGTCAATTTTGTTTCATTTACTGATGCTGGCACTGGATGCTCAATTTGTGATGTACTCATTGTATAAAAATCTCAGCTCTGTGGTGAAAGGCCTTGAAATTGAGCTTTTGATGGTAGATTAAAATAAAACATGCTCTTAATGAATGTACAGTTCAGTTCTTAAGACTAGATGAGACGGGTTTTCCTTCATTGTAGGTGGCACCCATTAACATCTGTATTTTCTTAGGAGAGAAGAGCCATATAAGTTCGGCAAATTGACACAAGGAATTCTTGTTGAGTTGTGATGATAAAAAAAAAACAAAACTTTTAGATTTATTTTTGAGTTATGGGTCCTTTGAAAATAAGTTATCAGTATTCATTGCTGTTATCAATAATGAATATGCAGGTTGCTTTTCCAGAAGATACATGTCTAGGTTGCCCTTCTAGTTTTGTACAAGTTCATGTTCATTTTCCTTGAAAGAATGAACAAGTGCAAATAAGCAACCTGATACTTGTATATGGAGGGAGATACATGTTGTCATAGTCTTCAGACAGTTGTGGTTTTCTGTATAGGTTTATCTTTTTTGCTGTCAGTACATTGGAGGACTTCTAGTAAGTGGGAGAAATTCCCGCTGCATTTTGTGAGTTTGTATGAACTGGTGGTAAATTGCTAACAGCTGGCTTTCAAGATCTCTCTAGATTAGACATTCCTATCTTTTGGCTGCCATGGTATCCAAGTACCTTTGTCAGTGATACTTCTCTTCATAGTCCTGTGCTTTCTTCTTTTTCAGGATCAACCCCCCACACTTTGCTTCTGATTTTGGTTAGTTTGTTGGGTTGTTTTCTTTTTTTTATACTATGGGCTTCATATTTGCACAGTAGAAATAAGCTGCCTGACTAAGAAGCACTGCAAGGAGTGAGGTACTACTTTAAAAGTTACAACCTTGACAACATTCTAAATCCTCATGGAACAGTTTTCAAAATCAACTTGGCAAACTTTCTTTCTTGGGTAATTTTTATTAATGAGTGCAATGTATGTGCAGGCGACATTTTCCATCCTTGAATGGGTGACCACAGCAATTTCTCTTTCCAAAGTGAGGTCAGGTAGTACGTTTAACTGATGTTGGTGATACATTAGCATCAGCGCATTCTGTATTGGAAAAAATAACTAGCCTTAAAACAAGGTAAAAACACGTTGACTCTAAAAGACAATCTCATTATGCAGCAGTAATAACACAAACGAATGCCACTGTTAAACCCTAGCATAAATCGCTAGTTTGTGCTGATCTTGGAGACCTTGAAATCCTATCTGATTTGTTATTTGAGTCCATAGCTGTTCAGAAACAGCTTTGTGCTTGCTTTGTAATTGCTCTTTATCAGGCAATTGCTTCCATTTCATAACTGCGGAGTTGGTTGTAGATGCTGGCTTTAAGCTTACAAATGATCAGCAATTTGACATTTGACATTAAGTGGTTGACCTTTAGTGGGTAAGAGGAAAAGCTACTAATTCTAGTGTTTACAGCACTGATTTTAGTGTGATATTGCTTCTCTCCATCTAACTTGCATCTTCAACCATTGTTGTAATTTTTTTTTGAGTTTAAAAGCAAACTGCTAAAGCACACAAGCTTCAATGCTATGTTTTGCACTGTGGGTAATCCTTTTCTTTTGTTACAACTCTTTAGTCCCTAAAATAACATGCAAGCCTCTGTTAAAACATAGGATCTCTAATCTTTGCCTTTCTTACTGCGATTTTTCTAGGGGTACAAGCCTGTCTACGAACCGCAGTACGAGAACAAGAAGAGAAGTATGAAATCCAAGGTGGCCCACAGAGAGGCCGGCTCAACAGAGAACAGCTGGTGGGTTTTATTGCTTGAGACAGATTATCTTAATGACCTTTGGTTCACGCATTTTTGCCCTTTGCCACATGTGCAGGTGTAGTGGATGTAAAATTTTAATGTGGTCTTGTACAGAAATTTGATTATGTGCAAGGTGATCGAAAGAACTGCGAACACCCATAAAGCTGTCATTTTTCTCTATTAGTGGATATGTTGCTATAACCTTGTCAGAGGGAATGCTGTATTACATTCATGGAAGAAGCTGTATGCGACAGGAAGTGATGCTGCTTTGGTCTTCTCTGCTCAGCTTTAGAAGCTAGTTGAAACTATCTGAAAGTGTGAAAGAAAAATGGTTTTATTTCTTCTTGTTTCCATATAGTGGCACTCATATTTATCTGGGTTAATTTCTGGTTACTTTCTAGATTGCACTGGAGAAGTTCATTAAATGTATTGTAACAGTAGCTGTAGATGTTCCTAGCTCATAGTTAAACCCTCTTGCTCTGGGAAATACCTAAACATAAGCAAGAATTTACCATGTAAGCAAGCTTTTCTTGATTGTATCCTTACACTGAGGACCTTAAATATTAAGTTATTGTTCTAATTTCCAGTGTTGGTTATTTTAAATTGTATTTTTTTGTAGGCACAGATTGTTCCTTTTCACTTTTCCTGTGTGCTCAGTTGCGAAGTCCTGTATTTATACGTTTGGTTTTTTTTCTTCCATTTAGCTACCAAAGTTGTTTGATGGATGCTACTTCTATTTTTTGGGATCTTTCAACCGTCACAAGAAGAGTGATCTTGTGGAGTTGGTCAAAGCAGCAGGAGGACAAATTCTGGCTAGGCAGCCAAAACCAGACAGTGATGTGACGCAGACAATCAACACGGTGGCTTACCATGCAGAATCTACTTCTGACCAGAGATTTTGCACTCAGTATGTAATCTATGATGTGTCTTCTAAATTCAAGCCAGAGAAAATTCGTCAGGGCAAAGTCTGGATGGCCCCCTCTAGCTGGCTCATAGACTGTGTGATGTCATTTCAGCTCCTGCCTGTGAAATGAATACCAGTGTCTCATGAGCTAGGCTTTAAAATGTGGTGAATCTTGAGCAGGTTGGAGCACTCTGGTAAACACTGGTCTGAAGCTATGATTTATGTTTTGCACTTAGGAATACAGGAGAGCTTCGACCATTTAAATGAGTGACTGAGATCACTGAGATGCTGAAATAAATGAACTTACAATGGAGGAGAGAGATAAATATACTGCATTGAAAAATGTGCCTTGGGTTATTTAGAATGCTTTATTTTTGGTTTTAACTTGACTGTAATAATCACTGACATTTTGTAACTAAGATTTTGCAAAACAAAACCTTTTTCATTCTTGATTTAAACCAGCCCTTTCTGGGTGATAGAGTATGATCCTATTTTTTTTGTGTTTGATATCCATTGACAAGGATCTACTGTATGTGTCAAGATTTCCCAGCCAGGCCAGAATTTGTATTTTTAAAAAAAAAGGACTCCGTGGTTTTCAATATAGTCGCTTGCCTGTGTAGACATTTCTTCTGTCAGATGACGTGTGATGTTTCTTATAACTTTTTATGACTGAATTTTGCAGGAAATTCTTGGCATGGGATAACCCTTGTAGAAGTTAGAGTAGAACTAATGGCCTGAATGCCTTTGAAAGTAGACAATTTTGAAAAGACTATCTTTAAAAATCTCAATCCAAAATTCCTTATTTGTAGCAAGAGTAATGCTTTATTCACTTCTGTGCTTTCATGCTTGTGAATGTGTAACTCAAATTTGATTCTATTTTCTGAAGGTTTTTAAGTATCAGGATCCTTATTAAATTATTATAATAAATATTTCTGTAAGTATGGATGTTTGCTATCATGGTTACTTTAATTAAAAATCTAATGATCTCAAAAGAATTATGCCTCACTTTGCACAATTGTACTTAAACTTAGCTGGCTACACTGGAGCAATATTTGATTCTTTCATATTTGTTACAATATTTCTTATAATTGAGCATAAGTTATTGTCAGAATCTTAATTCTTCCCTCTGTGCTCTTATGTAATCGTCCCTCTGTGCTCTTATGTAATGTGTTGCATTTTTTGTGTTGCCTTAGTTTGCAAATTCATAATTGAAAAATGGTGTCTCATAATAATAGGCAATGAGAATGATGGTTGTGGGATAAAACAAAGTTTCTTGTGTTTGCTTTTGTATTGCTTGTAATAATAAAACTTTTGGTGCCAGTAGGTTTGGAGTATCTTATTGCATGAGTTTAGCTGCAGAATAAGTACATAGTCCATATGGATCTCAACAGGCAAATGGAAATGTAAGTACTTTTCTGTGAACTTGATACAGCTGTGAAGATAGCATATCCATCTGCAAGAGCAGCTCTTCAGTGCAAGAGAGTTGTTTTCTGTAACCATTGCCACTGGAGATACTATGCCAATTTTCAATATGCGCTACAGAACTCTAAAAAGGGTATAACTCTAGAACTATACACTTCAGGTGTAACAGGTATGGTTTTCAGTAGCATCTACTAGACTTCAGTAGCTGGAGTATCTTGATCTATCACTTAAGCTAGACTGAATCATTGCTCTTCACTAAATGCGGTTTTCAAGTACTTGCATGTTTGTGTGAACGAGCAAAAATGCAAGGGTCATTAATAAATGGAACAACCCATGGGATGAATGTGTTTTGGGTTTTTGTGCAGATAAACACTGGCAGCAAATAAGGCACTGAGTCGATACCGCATGGACTTGGTCATTTATTTTAACAATTGTAGCACATTTTCACTTGGCATTTCATAGCACATCAATATAGCTAATGCGGTATTCTTTGCAGAAGTAGCAGTGAATCTCTGCAAAATTCTTAAAAACTGAGCTTTTCTGCTGTGTACCAGGAAGAAATTTGGCCCATCAGTAGTCAGTTCTATGTCCTAAAGTAGAGGCAGCAGATATACAGTTTTAGAGAGCCATTGTTCTTTGGCAGCTGAAAAGAAACTGTTAGAAAATTGCCATGATTTTTTTTTACTTTTTTTTTTTTTTTAAGCCCCATTCTGAACTCTTCCTAGGGTCTTGCTCCATCGAATCAAACGTTTTAAAGCAGAGTTACTATCAAATCACCTTAAGAATCCCTCCATATCATACTGAGGAGTGATCCTTACTTACTTCTCATTGAAGTGTACTCAAGATTAACTCTGGCCTGTCTCCTTCAGGTCTCTTCAGGAATTCAGAGTTTGCACGTGGTCACCTTACATAGACTTACGCGCTTAAAGAGCCGCACAGCACTGCAGTGAGTAGGCTTTGATGCTGGAATTGTAGCAGGTGTCAAACACTACTGAAGCAATAGGTAAGTACACAAAAGCTAGAGGTCAGTGACACAGACCCTGCCTAATTCAGTCTTGCTAATCATTAAAAGCACCTGATAACACATTTCTAAAAAAAGTCTTATCGTAAGGATAAATCAAGTTCCTTAATCCCTTGGGTGGATTTTTGCTCACGAAAGCAAGTTTATAAAATCATGAGGCGTGTGGCAAAGGGTGCGTAGGGATCATTTCTCACTGTCTTCTAGTCCAGAAACAAGGGTGCACTAAAGGAAGCTAGTAGGAGGCAGGCTCAAAATAGGAGATGTATTTCATGCAGTGTGAGTAGACTTGTGGCACTGACAGCTGTAGCCTGTTTTGGGTGCTGTGTATTTTGGCATAGTCTGAAGCAGGGAGTAGCTCAAAGAAAATCTGATGAAGGTTAGTAAAGAACCTTAGCTATAACATGGATTTACATTAGTATTCTCTTGTTAAAGTGTATATACTTAATGTCCATTGATGATTGGGGCATTTGAAGAGGTAAGAGCCCAAGACTTGCCATCTGGATTATAGATGTTTTTATTATTCTTGAATTTATACCTCAAAAATGCTGTGAATCTCAGAATGGCTAATGATTTTCAGGCAGCTTCCCTTGAAATTTATCTATTTATCTTGTTATGAATTATTTCATATGGGACACCTGATAACACTTTCAGTAGCAATGTCTGGCATTCAGGTTGTGGTCTAAGGGAGAATATATGAAGTCTGGCCAGTTTGTTGTGTTGGGGGCGGTGGTGTGTGTTGGGTTTGGTTTCTGTGTGTGCGTATTGAAGTGAAAGATACTCAAGAGTATGGAGGTAGCTTTCCTGCATCACTGTCCTGAGTAGGTCCAGGGGAATATAGTCACAGACTAGCTCAGACTTTTGGCAGTTTTTACCTCTGTTTGGTTACTTGTTTTCAAAGATCTCATAGGTTTTTCTTATCTCTAAAGTATCAACAGTTCTCTTTGGACTTTGTTCCTCCAGCTATAAAATAAAATCTGTTCTCTGTTGCTGAACATTGAGGATTCATTTGTTATTTTGAGATACTCGGAAGTGACTTGTCTGAGGTAGAAGCGAGTGGCCCAAAAAAAGAACTTGCGAGAGCAACTCAGGAGAGCTAGATGTTGCATTATTTCTGCAAATGTTCTAAGGAAATGGCAAGCAAACGAGTAATACCAAACAGTGGTAGCTGCTTGTGGTCTTGAAATAGAATGGGCACGTCTGGGTGTCCTCAGGCTCTGATGTCTTGCAGTCCTCTTCCTAATGAACAGCAAACATGGGAGGGTCCGGTCTTGCGTCTCTCTAATAACAAAGGTGTCAGCAAGTGTTTGACCCAACTGGCTTCTACTCAGCCCTCCGTTCGGCTTGAAGTAAAGCTCCTTTTTTACTGCTCTATCACAAGCGTCTGAGCTGAGCTATGCGGGACCCAGCACAAAGTTATTGGTGATCAGCCTGGGCAAGGCTCGCAGAAGGAGCGAGAGAGATTAAACAGAAATGATTCAAGGATGGGAATAATTCCAGGCAGGGAATTGAAGCTGGTTGTATTCCCTGCCTAAGTCCAGCATCATACTTAAGACCAAACTTAATCTGGAGCAGTTATTTTGTGCTGCAGTCTTCTAGCGGATCAGCACTTTGGCTAATGAAACTCACAAATCTGCTCAGGTCAAAGATGTCTGTGTGGAAGCCACAGACTGCTGTAAAACTACACATTGGTGCGTATTATTTGGGGAAAACATGTAAATGTAGGGATCATCTGGTCCCCCTGCCTCTGCTTTCTGTGCTGCTTCTGATTCATGTGGGCTAGCTTTACTGTCAGGGTGGTAGAGGGAAGGGGAAAAATCAGTTTATAGCCGCTCACGCTGTAGTACCAATAGAGCTTCTGGGCAGTACCATCTGTTCTGGCCTGTCTTGTGGACTGGCTGAACTGCCAGCAAAGTTTGGATAACGGCACCCTGGGGTCTTGTTGAGGACAGGTCTATGAAATATGGAAGAGCAAAGCTTTTCTTTTTTACTCTTCAAGCTATTTTGTACTTCAGTGCTGGAGGATCACCTATTTTTGGTCTTGGAAATGGGGTGAATTTGATGTCAGATTAATTGATATTAATCTGTTTGGCCCCCGTGTCCTTTTTCTGACTTTCTCCCATCCTTTAGAAGAAAAAACTGTTTGATGGAAAGGTTTGAATCTTTCTCTCTTATGTCAAAGTGGACCGCATTGTGTTGCAAAAGCCAACAAAGTAGGCTTAAATATCAATTTCAAAACTACAGAAAGAGGTCTTTGGACAGCCAGATAGTATTGGCTAGGAAATGGGCAGTAGTGTCTCGGATGGAACAAATGAAGATTCAGCTGTTTTTAATAGCAGTGCAGCATGTTCTGTCTTTCCAGACTTGTTTGATTTAAATTAACGGTAGTTTAACTAGTGTTAAATTGCCCTTAAAAGCAGAAGAACATTTTGTATGTAATCAGATGGGGGAAGGGGAGGAAGATTCCCACCTTTCTTTTTTTTTTTTTTTTTTTTTTCCTTTATGCTGAAGATGCATTTTCTGTGCTTCAATTTAATTCCTGGCAGGAGGTCTGGTCTGATGAAGTAGCAGAGAAACATCAGCTCCTGCTGCGTGTTTGAGACACCGGTGTCATTCAGCGAGTGGAGATGCTAAGGCAGTGACAGGCGAGGGGATGGCTGGTACCCGTGGTTTTGTTATGCAGCAGGGGT